GAATGCATTAAACCGTGTGTGTGCTTGGAATGGGAACATATGGCAAAACATTACAACTAATCGAACTCAGTTACAATTTACAAGGAACTAGACGCATTGGACACAGGCTTGTGTCTGATTGCCATGTCTTATAATGATTGGGCAGGTATTATGGAATTCTATTAATTATACTCTAACTTGTCATAATTGTTTTTTATACATGTGTGAATTTCTCCACCCCCTTTAATAGTTCTTTACAGGACATTTATCTGCTGAAAGCACGCTCTGGGATATGGATACCGGTCCAACTGTCCCGTCCTTGGCAAGATTCTCCAACCATGATGTTGTTTCAACAATTGGTAGAATATATGAAAAGAGGCAAAAGAACGATTGGCATGATCATTGCCCTGGTCATGGGGCTTATAGCTCTCACTGCCACGGTGGCCACGGCCGGAGTAGCCTTGCACCAAAGCGTGCAAACTGCACATTATATACAACAGTGGCTACTGACTCTGAGCAGTTACGGACGTCTCAGAGGCGGACTGACTCAGAAATTAATGCTCGACTAGGGTTTAGAACAAGCTGTAGTTATGTTAGGAGATCAAATAGTTAGTTTACAACGTCAGCTGCACCTTAAATGTGTTTGGAACACGTCTACCTTTTGTGTCACTCCTATTCCTTGGACTCAAACACACTCTCCTTGGTCTATAGTACGAAAACACTTGATATACCACTCACATAACATGACTGAAGAAATTGGGGAATTACAAAAACATATTTCTACTACTTTTCAAAATCAACTACAACTAGTTTCTGGGACCGATTTAATACAAGGGCTGCAGGAAGGTTTACAAAAATTAAATCCTCTCAATAGTCTTAAAGCAGTGGGAGGAGGTGTGGCTGGAATTTCCATTCGCTGTTTTGCTTTTTGTTTCCTATACACAGTCCGGAGAGGAGCTCGCCAATCGCAAAACGTAATCACCAAAGGACAGCAGAAAGCAGCTGCCTTCTCTATCCTGCTTCATCAAATTCGGCAAAAACAAAAAGGGGGAAATGTAGGAAAGGCCAGCAAACAACAAACAGACTCTGAAGGGGTTGGGTAGCAAGCTTCCTCAGAATCGCAGAAATCCCCTTGAAAACGAAAGAAACCTTTCTGCCAGGAACTGAAAACAGGTCCTTATCTTTCTGGGAAGCTCGCCCGCAGGAGGGTTATGGCCTTGAGGAGAAATGCGAAGCATCAGCCCAGAACAAAGGCACTTGTTCCTGCGCGTTTGACAGTCTCTACTGATCACTGTCTCTCACACCTGCCTTTCCGTGGCTCAGATAAAAGCGGCTGGGTGGGGAGCAGGGTGGTGGCAG